GTGTGTGTGTGTGTGTGTGTGTGTGTGTGTGTGTGTGTACTCACCGTCTGGCTCTCAGGAAAGTCCATCTTGATCAGTTTGTGGGCGCACTCCTCAAAGTCCAAACTACACAAACAACCAGTCAGTCAGTAACTGTGAAACCCTCTTCAATTAAAGCATGGTAAGTAGGCCACACACACACACACTCACACACACACTGACACACACATCTTTAAATATTAGTCCAAGTTCAACAGATTTAGCAGGAGCTGTAAATAACTGCAAACACCCTCAGAGACAAGTGAGTCACTGATCACTGTGTAATTCTAAGTGTGTTATTGTGAGTGTGTGCACATGTCTGTCCATCATTATGACATTTTGAGGGTAAAGACTTTGTCTTAGGGTCAGAGTCAGGTTTAGGTTTGGGTAAGGTCTCTAGTTGTGATGGTTGAGTAATGGTAAGGGGCTAGAGAATTCATTATATCAATGAGTGTCCTAACTACAAGAGGCGTGTGTGTGTGTGCGTGTGTGTGTGTGTGTGTGTGTGTACCTGGACTGAATAGCGAGGTAGATGGTTCTTCTGAAAGCAACCAGGTTGACTTCAGTCTTATCAAAGATGGTGACCTTCTCATCTGACGACAAACAGAGACAGAGGATGATGGAAGATGTTGTTGGGCTTCATGTGTATAATATTAAAATCAGGTTCATTATGACATAATAATTATATAATATCACAAAATTCAAGTCTGTGCCCTTCATGTCATACAAAGCAACTGGGGAGCGTCTTTTTGTTCCAGCCTTAACTTACAGAACACAAACTTAATGTTTAATATTTAAAACATCATCAATGTTATTTATCTATCTTGACGTAGCCGCAGCAGAGACGACATCGTGCATCTGATCTCACAAGCCGAGAAGTAAAAACCTCTCTCACCTTCTCCGCCTTCCTCGTTCTCTTCTTCCTCATCTTCATCTTCGTCGCTGCCGTCTCCCTCCTCTCCTGAATCGCTGCTGCCCTCGTCCAGGATGTCTGTCAGGAGGAGGTGGCAGCGGATTGGTTAAGACTGTGACGGAGGTGACAGCTGATTGGGCAAAGTGCAATGTTTAAGCGCGCTCTCACCTCTTTTGATGGTTTTGTATTTCTCCTCGTTCTCCAGGAAGTCTGGGTCCAGCTTGAACACATCTGAGTGAACACGAACACACACGTTAGGATTAGCATGTACACACTTATTTCCGAAGACGATCGTAGCGTCCCGGTCTTACTGAGGATGTCCTCCAGGTTGTACTCGTCGTCCAGTGGCAGCATGTGGGTGAACTGGTCGTCCTCCTCCACCAGGTCCAGGCCGTCTGGGATCACTGGATGATCTTTGAAACCGTCCTTCCTGATGGCAAACATCACCTCAATCATGTACTGGACCCTCTTATCGATGGCCGACTCGTGGAGGACGTTCCTGAGACGCTCGAATATGGCTGAAAAAAGAGAAAGACAATTTAGTAGATAGATATTTTTCGATTTATGTTTAATTTCTTGTCCCAAAAAATAGAAAAACTGATCAGTAGAAATAAAGTTACTGATATAACATCCTCCTGTTTAATGCTCGGAGCTGCAGTTTACCGTTGATTCCTCTGGGGGAGACCTCGGTCAGCTTGAGTCCACATTCTTTCAGGAAGGAGATGGAGACCTCAACGCTGTCGTCTGTCGGACGCTCCAGCAGCAGAGTGAGCATCTCCAGACACAAAACCTCATGGGCCTGAGGGCGAGAGACAGAGAGCACGAGGTCAACACACTTCACGAGAGCCGAGCATCAACACTCAGACCTTCCATCAATGTCCGAGGAGACTAACTTACCACGTTCTGGTTGATGAGGTGAGCCACGAACTTGGAGGCCGTCAGGCACTGTAGCTAGAAAACAAAACACAGACTGATTTTAATACTTCACTGATACTAATGATGCAACTTTTCACACCTTCAATGACGTTATGATGCAGATTCAAACACATCTGGTATTTTTTGTGTATTAGCTCCAAGACATTACTTCTCCGTGGTCAGAGAGTTAAACTTCAGGCAGGCGTGTACCTTGAGGTTGCGGCGGTAGCTCCTTCTGAAAGCCAGGATGAGACGCTTGAGGATCAGCTCTCCAATCTGAGGGAACTTGGAGTTGATAATGGCAACGACGGCGGCATAAACATGGGTGAAGATGGGAGACGCTGCCTGAGCCTGCAGCACCGAGCGAGCCAAGAGACCCCTGAGGGGAGGGGGGGGTCAGTCAGACTACACATGGCCTCCATTGTGTCAAATAAAATATAATTTATAAACATTGAACCTTAACTCAGATGTTAGTGATGTTATATTGAGGATTCTTAAGTTTGGATATCGTAAACGTGCAGCTGTTTGTGAGTGAATGTTTTTATTCACCTCCCCCTGATGATGTTCTCCTGGAGCAGCTCCTGGATGATGTTGACGATGTTGGACACGTTGACTTTGTTGATCAAACCGTTGATGGACTTCTTCAGAGCCTCCCAGCTCATCCTCTGATAGGCCAGGCTGCTCTTGTCGGTGATTTGCTGCTGCATCATACGCAGCTTGGCGGGGGGGATGTAAGCTCCACCGGTCCTCGTCAGGATTGGGTCAAGCTCCTCCTTCTTCTTCTTGACCGGCGGCTCATCTGCCGCCACCGGCTCCTTGTCTGTCGGAGAGGAAGCGGAGCGGCCACGCCTCCTGCGATCCCACTCTTCATCTCGATTGGTCCGCCGGGGAAAACGGCCGTTCCTGTCATCGCGCCGATCATCATAGCGATCTCTGCGAGGAACAGAGAGAGACGAAGTTCATCAGCAGACAAAACTGTTTAAAAACACGTGTTACTACTTTCAAATCATGATTTACTCTGACAATCGGATTTTAAAAACTGAATTATCATCGAGACCGACTCATGATTCTCTCGTCATGTTTGTCTTCTTCAATGTGAACGATTTCAGATCTGTGTTGTTAATAACACTCAGCTTGAATTAGATGAAAAATCCACTGAATAACAAAATGATTACAAGCTAATCACGCGCTGTGAGCTCTGTGTGTGTGTGTGTTACCTAGCATAGCGTCCTCTGTCGTAGCGCTCCCGGTCTCGCTCCCTCTCTCTGGACCTGGACCTGTCTCGTCCCCTGGAACCAGATCTGTCTCTTCCTCTGGACCGGGATCTTTCTCTGGACCTTGACCTGGATCTGTCTCGTTCTCTGGACCTTGATCTGGATCTGTCTCGGTCTCTGGACCTTGACCTGGATCTGCCTCGTTCTCTGGATTTCGACCTGGATCCGTGGGATCTAGATCTGGATCGATCTTGCTCTTTGGACCTGGATCTGGATCTCTGAAACAAACAAACGAAAAGAGTGTGAGTTGTGTGTCTTTCCATCTTCATGTTAAAATGATCTGGATCAATCTGAATGCAGGATGGACAAACTGTCCCTCTGTACATCAAGTACAAGTTAGTACCCACAGTGAATATCTCTGGATGTTGGGTACTGACCGGTGCATTTAAACACATGAAATGACAGTAACGACCTTAGTCCATCTTACTTTGATCTGGGCCACGCTGCTCCTGAGCTTCCTCAGCGCCCCGTTATGTTCATCGTCTTCATCACTGCTGGTGCTGTCGTCTGAGCTGCTGGAGGCCGGGCTCCTGGAGGGGCTGCGGCCTGCAGGACTGGCCTGAGGGGAGGCCTGAGGGGAGGGCTTGTCTTTGGGGCTGCTCTCGACCAAGTCGGCCTGTTGGGGTTTCTCTGCTGCTGGACTGGACTCGTCTTCTGAAGATCCTGAAGACAAGACATGAAGATAGGTATTAGAACTACAGCTACTAGGTAGTGCTTATACTTTTACTGCAACAACACAAAGGAGTGACGGCAAGTGTTACTCACCACTGTGTTCTCTCTGTGCAGATTTGGGACTTTGGCTTCTGCCTGGAGAGTCCATACCTTAAAAACCCACATGATTCCATTATGACACACAGGTGGAAGAGTCACATAGAGCTGCAGCGAAGGATTCTTTTCATTATCAGTCTCCAGATGAATAAACTGAACCACAATAGCTAATAAATAAAATAATTTAAAAAAACAAGTTGAATTTACAATCTACTGAATTATCTGCTTCATTTTCTACCACAGGAGAAAAACATTCAAACTTGTGGAGCAGGAAACTGAATTCATCTTTCATAAAATGATTTAAATGACTGTACAAAGTGCAATTATTGTTGTTTCATTTCATCTCTACACTCATCACATATCAAATCATACATAAAGTTAAACATGATTCTGTTGATTAACAATTAAATATAGTCAAATTCTTCATTCTGCAAAAGGCTGAGATCACATCCTATTCTTATCAAAGCCTGAATTTGACTTGTTAGTTGATTCTGTGTCTCAGTATTTAGATTGTATTACTATGTCTGTGGTTGTATACAACACACAAGTGTATTTTAAAGAAAACTATTTTACGAATTACATGAAATGCTTAAAGCTACTTTCTGTCGTTCAATTGAACTTTAGCTCAGTTTAAACTGTTGTTGAACATTTTCAGTGTTTGTCTGATCCTCATCTCAGAGACCGGATCAATCACACGTGCGCAAATATTAAACCGAGGATCTTGTGTCAAACTTTAACACTAAGTTTTTATTTCTCTCCAACGTCCGTCAACACGTATCGCACAATGTAGAGACCGGAAGCAGCTCGTAGGTCTAAATGAATAATTGACTCCAGTTGCTTCAGAGAAGTTATGAAGACACTGACATGACACGAGAGAAACAAAAACATTTCCACAATCACACAGACGTCTCGGCTTTTATCGCCATGTGTGTTTGGGAGATGAAGTTAGCTAACCTGCTAATGCTACATCGACTCTGCCCAGTGGAGCAGTGAAAGAGCAGGAAGTGAAAGATTTCAAGGGGATTTTTTTTTTTATCGATGGAATCTTTGTGCTTCGTCTATTTTTTTTAAACGTTTTAATTTTCTCACCGTTTCGTTCCCGGACTTTTTGTCTCTCCGTCAAATCAGAGTCTGTTCAGCGGCGGCGATATCCGAGAAATGCTTCCGGGTCAGGTGCAGCTTCCGGGTTTCACAATAAAAGTTTGAAAGGTGATGACTGTTTTCGGTGTCGCCCTCCAGCGGTGATGATAATAACTACCTCCTCATTGCTGCCGAGCTGATCAACTTTTTTTTAATTTTAATCTACTTTGTGCACTTTCTTAGTTTTATTTACATTTTTTTTACAAGGTTTCAACCTTTAATGTGCAAATACGTCATATTATTTTCATTTTTTGTTTTATTATCCGCTTGGTGCAAGTTTGGAAAGTGGTGCAAAACCCAGAGGAGGGTCTCATGAAGTGTTAAACCATGTACCACCCTTCCTTACTTACAGACACACATACAAACAGACACAGACACACACTCACAAACACACACACACAAACTCACAGTAGCACACGTCTGTACTGAAAATAAATACATCTTTATTATTCTCATCTCTACAGAGTGATCCCTCCCTGCATCCCACAGACAAGACATCAGTACAAAATACATATCATTATTAATAGACAACAGAAAGAGACATCAATGGAAAACAATCGACACCAACGGTCAGACGGTAACGTGTAATTAGACGTGTGTGATGATTGATCAGTGGAAAAAAGGAAAGAGACGTAAAAAGCACAAAGAGCTCACAGTGAGTGTTTGTCCAGCAGAGCAGTTTGTGATCAGAGAAATATGATCCAAAAAAAAAAGTTTTCTACAAACACAAAGTCAATAAACGATGAAGAGAATCGATGACCAAAGGTCCAGTTAATAACGATCTGGAGCATTCACATGATTGAAAGTTCACAATTGGCCGACTGCGCCTGCTAAATTAAGGCTCCACATCGTTAGTAAGTCGACCTCTGAGTCTGATTTTCTTTCTATTGCTCCCAAAAGATCCAGAACGGACGTCAATGTACACAAAGTTCAGCTTTCAGTAGATAATATCAAACATCTATTGTGAGTCTGTGTGGAATTTTTCACAACTATTACAAAGA